CGTTATTGTTATCATTGCTATCATTATTATTATCATTATCATCATTATTACCATCATCATTATTGTTACTATCATCATCATTATCATCATTATTATTGTTAATATGATTATTCCTGTTATCATTATTATTATTATCATTGCCATTATTATTATTATTACTATCATTCTCATTTTCATTTCCACTATCATTATCATCATTTATATCATCATCATCATAATCACCAGTATCCTTATTGCTGTTATTGTGAACAGTACTCACGATCTTATTAGTACCAACAGTAATAACGACTGTAATAATAATTTTAGCAGCAGTTTCCGCAACAATATAGCCAATAACCCAAGTACTAAAATAACATTACGAAGCTAGAGTAGTAAAAATAGTAGTAGTGATAGCAGTAGTTGCAGCAAGAGCAACATCTTTGGTGATTTTTACGATATGGACGTCGATAAAATATAGCACGAGAGATAGGGTGAATGTAGGAGGTGGATAAGAAGGGGAGGAGAGGGGTAATGGGAAATGTGTTGGGGGTGGGGGTTGGGGTGGGGGTGGGGAGAAGAGGAAGAAAAAAAGAAGAAGGAGAATAAAAAAAGAAGAAGGAGAGGAAGAAGAGGAAGAATAAAAGAAAAGAAGGAGAAGAACAGGAATAGGAAAAGGAAGAGGAAAAGGAAGAAGAAGATGATGATGATGGAGAAGAAAGAGAAAGAAGAAAAGGAAAGACGAAGAGGAAGAGAGAAGAAGAAAGAGAGTAAACAATAACGAAGAGAAAAAGAAAGAGAAAGGACGACACGAAATAAAATAGATATGAGTAAGAAAAAAAACGAGAAACAATAAAAGATAATAATGAAAAGTAGATACAAACAAACAGAAAGAAAATGAATTAAGTAATAATAACGCCAGCAACAAAACAAAATAAGTAATTAAAAATATCAAAATTAACGGCAAACTATTTACATACTCCAACCCAAGAGGAGCTCAGAAAGAGAAAATAGGATAACGAAAAATAGTGGGAAGAGAAAAGAGAGAGAAAAAAATAAAAGAAAAATAGAAAAAAAGAGATGAAAGAAAAGTAGAAAAAAAGATAAGGGAAAAGAAGAAACGAAAAAAAAGATGAAAGAAAAGTGGAAAAGAAAAAAAGAGATAGGAGAATAGAGGAAACGAAAAGAAAAGTAGAAAATGAAAATGAGAGATAAGGGAAATGAAGAAACGAATGAAAAAGATAAAGGAAAAGTAGAAAAGAAAAAAAAGAGGTAAGAGAAAAGAAGAAACGAAAAGAAAAGATAAAAGGAAAAGAAAAGAAACGAAAAAAATAGATAAGGGAAAGGACGAAACGAAAAAAGATAAAATAAAAGTAGAAAGGAAAAAAAAACAGTTAAGAGAAAGGGAGAAAGAAAAAAAGAAAAGAAGAAACGAAAAAAAAAGAAACGAAAAAAAGAGATAAGAGAAAAGAGTAAACGAAAAGATAAGATAAAAAAAGTAGAAAGGAAAAAAGGATAAAGAAAAAGTAAAAAAGATAAAAAAAGAGAAAAGATGAAACGAAAAGAAAAGATCAAAGAAAATCAAAAACGAAAACAATGAGATACGAAAAAAGAGGAAAACAGAGCCAAACATCGTTAACGAAAGAGACACAGAGAAGAGAAACAATTTTATTCGTCTTTATGTCTTTTATTTTCCTTCTGTATATGAGGGCGACGGAACCTCCAACAAGCGAATGAGGAAGGAAGAAAGGGAGGGAATGGAAGGGAAGGAGGGAAGGAGGGAAAGAGGGAGTTAAGAAGGGATGGATAGAGGGAGGAAGGTAGGGAAGGAGGATAGGAAGGGATGGAAGGGAGGATAAGAGTGAGGGCGGAGAGAAGGGAGGGAAGGAAAGAAGGAAAAAAAGGAGGAAGTGAGGGAGGGAGGGAGGGAGGAAGAGAGAGGAAGGAGTTAAGAGGGATGGATGGAGGGAAAGGGATAGATGGAGGAAGGAAGGGAGGGAAGGAGGGTAGGAAGGGAAGGAGGATGAGAAAGAAGGAGTTAAGAAGGGATGGAAGTGAGGGAGGAGGGAGGGGAAAGAGGGAAGGAGGAAGAGAGAGAAGGAGTTAAGAAGGATGGATAGAGGGAGGAAGGTAGGGAGGAAGGGAAGGAGGGAAGGGAGGAAAGGAGGGAAGGAAGGAAGTGAGGGAAGGAGGGAGGAAGGGAGGGAAGGAGGAAAGGGAAGGCAGGAGGGAGGAAGGGAGGGAAGGAAAGAGGAGGGGAAAGAAGGAGGGAAGAGGGAGGGAGGGAGGGTAGAAGGGAAAGAAGGAGGGGGGAAGGGAGGAAGTGAGGGGAGGAGAGAGGAGGAGGAAAAGGGATGGGAAGGGAGGAAGGGAGGGAAGGAGGAGGAAAGGGAAAGGGAAGGGAGGGAAGGAAAGAAGTGAGGGAGGAAGGGAAAGGAAAGGAAGGGAAGAAGGGAGAGGTAGGGAAGGAGGGAGGAAGGGAGGGAAGGGAGGGAAGGAGGAAAGGGAAGGAGGGAGGAAGGGAGGGAAGGAGAGAAGATAGGTGTTAGGAAGAGTGGGAAGGAGGGAGGGAAGGAAGGAAGGGAGAGAAGGAAGAAGAGAAGACAGGTGTTAGGAAGAGAGGGAAGGAGGGAGGAAAGGAGGGATGAAGGGAGGAAGGGAGGAAAGGGAGGGGAGGGAAAAGAAAGGATGGATGGAGGGAAAGGGATGGGTGGAGGGAGGAGGGAGGAAGGGAGGAAGGGAGGAAAATGAGGGGGAAGAGAGAGGAGAGGAAAAGGGAGGAGAGAGGAAGGGGAGGGAGGGATGGGAGGAGGAGGGGGAGGGAGGGAAGGAGAGAGGGAGGAGTTGGGAGATAGAGAAGAGAGAAGAAAGGAGGAGGGAGGAAAGAGAGAGAGGAGTGGGGGAGAGAGGAGGTAGAGTAGGGGAGAGGAGAGGAGGAAAGGTTTAAAGGAGGTGTATTAGGCGGGTGGTGAGATGGAGGGGGGAGGAATGGGAGAGGGGTGTTGATGTGGTGAGGCATAGAAATATGAACATGTAATGGTGGGAAAGTGGGGGAGAGGGGGGAAGGGGGGGAGGGGGCTTGAGGAGGGCAGGAGGGGGGTGGCAGGCGAATGGTGATTTCTAGACAATGGTGGCAGCGTGTTTGGAGAGAGGAAAGGAGGCTGAGGGCACGGTGTAAAGGTGGAGGATGGAGGGGTGGAAGGGCGGTGGGTGGCAAGGGATGGTGGAAAGGGGCGGAAGGGTGGGTGGAAGGGTGGAAGGGTGGTGGAAGGGTGGTGGAAGGGTGGAAGGGTGGAAAGGGAAGGGTGGAAAGTGGTGGTGAAGGGTGGGAGGTTGGAAGGCGGTGGTGGGAAGGTGGTAGGTGGAAGGGTGGAAGGGTGAAAGGTGGTGGGGAAGGGTGGATAGGTGGACGGTGGTTGTGGAAGGGTGGCAAGGGTGGAAGGTGGTGGAAGGGTGGAAGGGTGGAAGGTGGTGGTGGAAGGGTGAGGGTGGAAGGTGGTAGGGTGGAAGGATGGAGTGGAAGGGTGGAAGGGTGGCAGGTGGTAGGGTGGAAGGATGGAAAGGTGGAAGGGTTTGGAAGGTGGAAGGTTGGTAGGCGTGGAAGGATGGAAAGGTGGAAGGGTGGAAGGCGGTGGTTGGATATAGTTGTTGGAATGATGAGAAAGGTCTTGGTGTTGCAAAAGAAGTGTTGGAAGGTAGGGGTGGAACGGGATGATAATATCATAAAGTGGTAATTGTGGAAGATAAGTGATGGAAATAGTGGTTGGAATAGATGCTGCGAAGCGGTAATGGAACAGATGTTG